TCATTTAATGCTGCTGCTTCTGCTGTTGCTTCGTATTTCTCCCTTTCTGCTTTGACATAGAGTAAGGCAAAAGGTTAAAAACTGCTTTGATCCATTTATTAATTTTCTATCCCCCCGTTGGTCTATCCATCAATTCGCCTACTAACTGCCTATTCCTTCATTAGTTCTTTATTTCTTTATTTAGTTCTGCCTTGCTCATCGTTTGCCAGCTGTCGATTGACAATTGTAGTTACCCACTGCTTCTGTTTTACTCGTCTTGTTTTCCATGCTTAATTGTTTGATGAGTTTGAATTTTGAATTTGAATTTTGAATTTCAGGTCTGCGATTGGGTTTGCGACCTGTGTTTATAGTCTGTGCCTTACTGCCTGTTTCTCCAGCTGCTTTTCTGCCTCTCGAGGAGAGTCAAGGAGAGAAAGAGTTGGAAAAAGAAAAGCTTGTTGCATTGCTTCTTGGTGATTTCTGCTGTTCGGTAGCTGTTTAACCTGTTCAGACTGTCAGCCTGCTGTTATTATTTATTTGCTATTCGTTATTATATTTGTTATTATTATTATTGCTTGCTTGTTTATTTGGTTTATTTGATTTGTTTATCCTTTTATTTGTTTGTTTATTTAGCTATTCCTTCACCGTTGACCGTGTCTGGTTCTGGCTTGGATTTTACTTCCTTTGTAGGTAAGTTTCTGAGTTTCTAAGTTCTGCCGTTTTCTTGCTCCTGTTTGCTTTCTTATATTTCCCTGTTTTGTCGCGTTAGTTCGTTTAGCTAATGTTGCTTTCCTTTCAGGTGCTCATCGCTGCTTTCCGCTGCTTCCCTGTCCTTACTTTCGCCATGCCTTCTCCTGTCTCTATCCTGCAGTTGAATCTCAACAATTGTCGACTGGCCCAAGACCTCGTGTGGCAAGCTGCTAACGAGCGTTGTGCCGATTTTGTGTGTATATGTGAACCGTATGAATTGAGAGGTAAATGGTATGTGAGCTCTGACTCAACGTGTGCTGTATGGTACCGTCCTTACTCGTCTTCAGATTTCGCTGTTGTCCATTGTCAAAGCCGTGGGGATGGTTTCGTAATCGCGGAAACTCGCGATTTTTGCCTGATATCTTGCTATCTTTCCCCCAATATGCTATCTTTCCACCAATTTATCTCGCTCTGCTTTGGACCATGTTTTGTCCAATTTGTCCTCTTCCCTTCTTCGTATATCTAAGCCGGTTATACTTTGTGGCGATTTTAATGCCCGCTCTCCCGCTTGGGGCTCTACTTCCTTAGATTCTCGCGGTCGTCTGCTAGAGTTGTTGTTCTCGGAACTTAATATTGAGCCGATTAATAGTGACGGTGGTCCAACTTTGCACCGCGCTGCCTATTCTTCTCGCATAGATCTTGCTGTCTGTTCCCCTTGCTTGCTCTCTTATTTATCTCGTTCTGTTGTGCTTTCGGATTTCACCGGCTCCGATCATTCTTTTCTATTCCATAACTTTTCTGCCTTTTCTTTTGGTTCTTCTTCTGATAGCTCTGATTCGTATTTATCACCGTCGTCGTCGTCATCCTCCTCTACTGCTCCTGACTTTTCATGGTTGCCTCGCTCCGGTCCTCTGGATATTGATGCGTGGATTGACGCTCTCACATCCTCCGCATTTCGCACTCGTGATTTCTCTGCCCAATCGGCTCATTTTACCTCTTCCGAGATTGATGCGGAGCTAGTCGCCCTTCAAGCTTTGTTTGATTCTGTTCGCCCTTCTATGCCCTTGAAGCGCAAGAAACGCCGCGATGCCCCTTGGTGGTGTGAGGAGTTGACAAAACTTCGTCGCGAAACGCGTAATGCCCGAAATTTGTATCGTAAAACTCTTTCCCGTGATCCTGCTCTCGCCGCGGAGATCGCCTTACCAGTGTATCTTCTGGCTCGTCGAAGTTTTAAATCGTTAGTTTGTCACCGCAAGAATGAGTGCTTTAAGGAGATGATAGATGAGGTTAAGGTTGATGTTTGGGGACGTCCTTATAAGGCTATGTTGCGTAAATTACGCGGCGTCCAGCCTCCCGTGTCCTTAAACCGCGATGAATTTCGCCTCGCAATGCAGGCTCTTTTCGTATGTTCTCCGGTTACTCCTGCTTCCTCTTCTTCCTCGCTTCATTCCGCTGTTCTCCCTGCTTCTCACAACACTTTGCTTGTTCCTTCTTCCTCGATCCACGATCCAACTATTGCATCTTCTTCTCAATCTCCAACCTTTCCATCACTTGCATCGATTCGTGAGGGCACCGAACTGTCTCCCACTCTGCTCCATAATATTTATATTGGAGACGATGGTTCTGACGTGCCCATTGACCCCCTTACTGTGTCTTATTCCTTGGCTCGTATAGGCCCAAAGAAAGCCCCTGGTCCTGATGGCATGTCAGGCGAGGTTGTGCGTGTCGTTGGTAAGCTGCTTCTTCCTTGGCTTACCAAGCTTTATAACTCGTGTTATTTCCGCGGTTTCTTTCCCTCGGCTTGGAAAAGAGGTCGTTTGGTTTTAATCCCGAAGGCAGGTAAGCCTTATTCTTCGTTCAGTGATCTTCGTCCTTTGTGCATGCTTCCCCATTTGAGTAAGGGTTTCGAGTATTGCATCCGTGAACGTCTTCTCGAAGCCGTTCGCGTTTCCGGTGGCTTCTCGCCTCGCCAGTTTGGTTTCTTATCGGGTCGATCAACTCTTCAGGCCATGCGCGTGGTCACTTCTGAGTGGGACCGTGCTCGCTCCGTTAATAGCCATTGTCTCCTTCTTACGTTAGATGTGAAAAATGCTTTCAACACTCTGCGATGGGAAAATATTCTTCGTGTAGCCCGTTCGCGTGGGTTTCCTCTGTCTCTTATAAAAGTTCTTTCCAGCTATCTCTCCGACCGTCGTGTTGGCACCTTCCTCTCAGATGGTACCTGGGTAGAGGTGCCAGTATCTGCTGGTGTACCTCAAGGTTCCGTTCTTGGTCCTTTATTGTGGATCCTTGCCTATGATGGAGTATTGGACGTGATTCTTCCCGGTGGTGCTATTACCGTAGGTTTCGCGGATGATATGGCTTTAGTGATTGTAGCTCGCTCCCTTACTAGGTTACGAGTTCTTGCCGAGGAGTGTCTTACCATCTTGGGAGCCTGGTATACCTCTCAGGGTCTAGTGTTGGCCACGCACAAAACCGAGGCAGTCCTTCTTACCGGTCGTCGCGTTCCTCATGGTCTGTCCCTGATTCACGATTCAAATTCCATCCGCACTTCTCCTTTTGTCCGCTATCTCGGCGTGCTTTTTGGCAACAGTCGCCTTTACCGCCATCACATAGACAAGGTTTGTACCAAAGCTCTGGCTGTTGCCAAACGCTTGTCTTACCTTCTCCCAAACCTACATGGTTGCGGTTTTACAGGTCGCTTGTTGTATTATCGTGTAGTAGAGTCCATTGTTTTGTATGGCGCCCCTGTTTGGTTTGAAGCCGTGAATTACTCCTACATCCTTGGCCGTCTCAATTCGACGCAGCGTGTTGGGCTTTTGCGCATTTGTCGCGCCTATCGCACCGTGTCAACCAATGTTTTATGTGTTTTATCTGGTTGTACTCCTTGGGAGTTTCTTGTGCACTTTCGTACCGTTTGCTTTGAGCTCGATCCTCTTTCGGACGGCGTAGATGCTCCTCGCTCGATCGATCTTCTGGTAAGGCGAGATTGGCAGTCTGCCTGGAATAACTGTCCTAATGGTGAGTGGACTCGTCGGCTTATTCCTGACCTTCACTTCTGGATTGAATCAGGTGGTCCTCGTATTCTGAATTTTCATTTAACCCAAATCTTGACCGGTCATGGTTGCTTCGTCAGCTATCTTCATCGCATCGGCCGCACTTCTTCTCCTAATTGCTGGTTCTGCTCATCCGACACCCCGGATGATGCAGAACACACTCTTTTCTCCTGCGCTTGTTGGGAGTCCAAACGTTCTTCTTTGTATAGTGTCGTTGGTCCTCTTTCTCCTTCGAATTTTGTTTCAGTACTCCTAAGTGATGACTCCCATCGCCGTGCTATTCTTCATTTCGTGAGATACGTGATGTTGGTAAAGGAGCAGGTAGAACGTTCCCTAGATAATCTTTCGTCACACTAACGCTCGTCTCTTGCTGCCTCTCTTTGTTTGTGTGATCTTGTTTATGCTGTGCATTAGGTGTTTGCGTTATTTGGTGTATTGCGTGTTGTTGTGGTGCATAGCTGCAGTGTGTGTGTTTTGTTTGTGTGTGTTTGTTTGTATATCAGTGTACTGGTCTCTGTTACTTGTGCAATGCGTGCTCATTTGATTTCCTTGCCAGCTTGAGGTGATGCGGTGCTATTGTGCTATGTCGCTATTCCTACCCCCTTTATATTTATCTTTGCTTAGCTGTCTTTTATAATCATGCTGATCCGTTTGCCGTCTCATGCTTCACCACCTTTCCATTTCGCCCAGCAGAGCAAGCTAAGTATTTCATTTATTTCCACTTGTGTCTTATGCTTCGTTATGCGCCGTCTCCAGTTTAACTTCTGTCTTGCCTTTTCATTTCCAGGGGAAGAGATCTACTGCTGCTGCTGTTGCATCCTTGTCGTCATCCTCGTACATCGTTTTGGTCTCGCCGTCCGGTCTTCACCGCTCCTCCTGACGTTTAGTGATGTCTTGACAACGCTTCTGTCTGGTTCCATTTGGCTATCTTCTGTTTGCTATTGTTTACTGGGCGTTGGTCTGCAAGCTTCCTTGTGTCTCTCTCCCCTTGTATGTTCGACCTGTGAGACTGGTAAGCTGCGAGCTAGAAGCTGGAAAACTAGTAAATTAGAAGATTTCCAGAAAATTTCAAACTGTTGGGTTTCTTTAAATTTCAGGCTAAGGACCATGTTTAATCTTATTTTCTCATTTCAGATTGCTTCAGTTCGGCTTCTTCTTTGTTGATGCTGCTTGCTACGCTCTGCCTTGTCCTCTGTCTATGTTAGAGCTGTCCATTTGCGCCTCCGCTTCGCACTGCGTAGCTTTGCTTGCGCCGCTCATTCTCCGTTACCTAGTCTATGCTAATACTACCATGTTCATCTGCCCCATGCGCTCCTTGTTTTCATGCAATTTCATGCCTGCATGCATCTCATGCCTATTTTCTATCTTAAATCCGATATTTGTGACGTTTAGTCTTAATGCCCTAAGTTTAGTTAAGTCGTCTAATTTAGTTTAAGTCGTATCATGTTAAATAATGATATTTATCGTTTTTGAGTACTCATTTCAATATTAATTTAACTCATTTATTACGTTGTGTTATCACTGGGAGTCGCATAATGCCTTAAAGAGACCTGATCGCTTTCTCTCCGCGGTCACTATGTCGTTGCTACTATTGTTGCCATTTACTTGCTTCCGCTGACTTATTTCGCCTACTCTGAGTTGTTATTCGCGTCTGCCGATTCTGGTTTGAGTCCTAACTAGGTTGCATCCAACTTAGTAACATTTAGGTTAGCTACAACCTGCTCTCCTAATGTTTAAGCTAGATGCTTGTTTTTTAGTTTATTGGTTGTTTAATTCATTAGTTCGATTTTGTTTGCCTGTTTGGCTTGATGTGATTTGTTTGCTGTTGTTACCTCGCGTTTAATCTGTAAGGTTTAACTGCGCGTGTTACTCTATGCTGCGTTATCTTTGTTTGTATTTGTTTATATTTGTTTATTTATACTGGAAGTTTTGCGACTCCTTGTCGCCAATAAGCTGCGTATAATTTATATAGTTTATATTTGGTAGATAGTGGATAATTTGTAATTTATAATTTATAATTGATGGCCTGTTCAAGCTTTGCTAATTTAACTTAGTCTCTGCTAATTTAATTTAATTTACTTCGGATTTAAGTTTAAGTTTTCAGTTTGTTTAGCCATTCTATGTTCTGGTTTAGTTGTCTATTTGATACTGTTTTACACTGGTTAAGACTTTATGCTTTGCGCCTATTTTGCTGTTTGTAATGATTTATGTACCTGCGTTGTAGTATGCACTGTGCGTGTGAAAGATGAAGAATACTAGATTGCCCTGTATTGTATTTGTATAATGTATAATGTGTAGTGTCAACGAAGTTTGTTTAAATTGCCTGATTTTAACTAAGTGATTGTCGTAATATTTAGGTTGTATTTTATTCCTATCCGAGCCTATATTCCCATTAATTTAATTAGTTTTAATTAATTTAATTCTAAATTTAAATTTTAATTTAGATTTTAATTTTAATTTTATTTATGTGATTTTATGTGATTTCATGCGATTTTGCGATTTTTGCGGTTTTCGAGGTTGAAGCTAAGTTTATATTTATATTTATATTTATATTTATATTTATATTTATATTTATATTCATGTCGTTTACCTTTAACTAATTTCAGATTTATGCCCCAGTTTCCAGTTTTATGTCCAAGTTGAGACCCTAGACTTTGAAATCTGCCTTTCGGGTTGAAGTTTAAGCGTTTAGGAATTAGAGCCCCAATCTAGTCAGATCCTAATTTGATATCTAAATCTGAGTTTTTGTTTCTGCGTGGCTTATTGTCGTCGCGTGTTGCGCTGCGCTGCGCTTGTTCTGGCAGGGTGAGATAGTTAAATTGAGTTGAGGTAAAGTCATTATGAAGTTATAATAAAGCTGGATATGAAGTAATAAGAAGGCTGAGATAAGGTAGATAGATGGGGTAATGCATCTGTTTTATCCCGTGTTGTTCAAATTTCTTCTATTCATTAGTAACAATAATACCTAACTTACTCACTACTTAGCTACTTTCTCTACATGTTAAATATTCCTTGTTTCTAATCTATTTTCTACGTGTTTCGCTTAACTTATATTATGTTTAGTCTTGCTTAATTGTCTTTTATTAACTTATTATTCTAACTTACTGCTTATCCTAGCTTAATTAATTTAGTTTAATTTAATTTACTTAATTATTTTCCTGCTTCACGCTTCGCCAGCCCGTCCACTGCCCTTAATTGTTCCGCATCCTCACCAAGGATCTTTACTGGTTCCGGGTTTGGGCTGCCTCTTCTCGCTCCCTTCCCCGTTTGTCGTTTTTTCGCTGATTCCGCGCGTTTCGCCCCCTTTTTTCTCTTCTTTTCCTCTCACGCATTCTTCCTGCTTCCTTCTTGGAAAGAAGGGTCTGAGCTCCTGCCACTTAGTCCTCAGGCTTTTCTCCTGGGTGAGCCGTTTCGCTGCCGTTCTTGTGCACTCAAGAAAGGCGGTGCGGTGACATGTTCCCTGTCTGCCCCCTATATGCTTAAAGCAAATCTCTCCTTTTTCCACCAGCTCTTCTAATCCGCCTTTCTTGAGTGCTTCCATGAGCTCGTCCTTTTCCAAGTCCGGGTCGGAGATTTTGATTGCCATCACAACCCTATCCGTGTGGATCTGCGCTTTCCACTTGCCGTTTCCTTCCCTGTTTATCACTTCCGCGCACTCCTTGCCCGTCTTCGCTCTGTCCTCGTTGTCTCTTTGTAAAATGATAATGACGTCTCCTTTCCTGGTCTCCCTGATCTCCTTGAGCCCATCTGTGAAGGCGTGTATTTTTGTTTTCAGCCATCTTATTGCGCTCCAGTAGTCTATTTCCTCTCTCGGGTATTGCACTATTACGACCACGTCGCTCCTGTTTCCTTCACCCCTTCTGTCCTTGGTCCACCCTTCTTTCCTTCGCTCCTCCTCGCTTCTTGTCTCCTCACGCCTCCCTTTCGCGCCTGTCCTCGCTCTATCTTTGTTCCTTCCGTTTCCGTCTCCGTTTTTTCCCTCTTCTGCTTGGTTCCCTTCTCCACTGCTCTCCTGCTTCTTACGTTTCTCCTCCATCCTTCTTTTTTCTTCCCTTACCCTCTTCACTATCCTCATGATTTCATACTCCTCTTCGTCTTGTCCACACCTTGCTTTGTCTCCATCTCTCTTCCCTTCCTTCTGGCTTTGCTGCTCCTCGCTCTTCTTGATTTGTCCATTCTTTCCTCCAGCTCTACCTTCTTCGCCTACTAATCGCGCCATCTTGACTACTGGATGCAGCCTCAGTTCTTCACTTTTGGTGCCGATTATTTTATCCTCTATGACAAGCGGCAACTTTCTTTTCGCCTTTTCCTGTTCACCTTTTCCCGTTTTTCCTTCTTTACACTCCCCGGCTCGCGGCGTTGAGCTTCCTGCAGGCTCTGGCCATCCTTGGCTAAGTTTATCCTCCCAATCCATGTCTTCTTCCAGTTCACACATGGAGGCTTCTGCTTCTTCTGCTGCCTCGGCCGCTTCCATTAGAGCTAATTCTTCCTCCTCTTCCCGCTTGTCCTCATGTCTTCTTCCTGTTTTAGGCTCTCCAGCTGTGCCCTCGTCCTTCTCCAATCTCCTTTTCCTGCTGTGTCCTTTGCTGTTGTTTCCCGCCTTGGTATCTTCATTTTCCCTTGCCTCCTCCTCTGCACGCTTCTCCCTGTTTGTCCTTTCTTCTATGTTGCGGACCGCTTCCCTCAGTAACTTGTTAATGTCCTCCGATGTGATCTTACTTCCCTTGTACCCCTTGATGCTTTCCATTCTGCCTTGCCTCGATTCCTTTAACTGTAACTCCGCTTAACCCCAAACTTATTCACACTACTTCTATCTGTCGTTCACTGCTATCACTATTCTCACTGCTGCTTCTACTACTACTCTCTTCCTTGCTTGCTCCTTGAATGATTTCGTCCTGTCGCTTGGTCTCCTTGTTACCTACCCTTGCGATTTCCCACTCTTGCCTCGTAGTGTCTTCCCACTCTTTGCCTTGTAATCTTCTTCCTTCGTCTCTCCCGTTTTCTTCCTCCGTCTCTCCCCTCTTTCCTTCCTGCTTGCCCTTCTTCTACCTTCTTCCTTGTCGTTTCCCTGCTTGTTGCGTCCTTTCGCCCCGCGCCTATTCGATTTGGGTTCCCGAAATTTGGTTTGGTTTGATTTTGCATTTTGCTTGCTTGCATGCTTGAGATTAATTTCCGTTTGCGATTCGATTTGGTTGGCCTCTGTCTGTTTGTCACCTACTCACTTGATTTAACTCTTCCACTGCGTGCGGGCTCTTGGTCTTAGTCCATTTCGTTTCGCTCTATTTTGTTGTCTCGTTATTAACCATTTTCAACATTTCGCGTCTTGTATGCTGCCGAGCTAGTACGCGCATGCGCTTCACTAGCTAGATTTATTAGGGTGACTCCCTTTAAATTTAAGTCTGAATAAATATAGCTATAGTTTTAAATTTGAATTTGATATATTTATATATTTATATAGGTAGATGAATAATTTGTTGAGTAATTTAATGATTGATGATTAGATGGATGAACACGCGTAATTGCAGGTGAGTGGCCTCCGTGCAGCTACGCGAGTGTGCACGTATATGTGCACAAACTATGCCATTTAACTACTGATGCACTATATAGTACTATAGTCCTATATTACATTATGCTATATGATATAGCACCGTATTATATATGTGCGTGTTTAATATTTGTATTTAATATTTGATATTTGTACTTTGTCATTTGCCATTTTCATTCGTCATTTGTCGCGCCAAGTTGTTGTTGTTCTAGCTAGTTTAAATTTCATTTGTGCAATCGTATGAGTCTTGTAAATTTAGTGAGCTTAAACAGATTTATAACGTTTAAATACCTGAAAGTTGAAATTTGAGAATTAAAACCTGAATGTTGGGGTCTATAATTTATGTCATTTATGAGTTGGAAATTAATATTGCAATTGTGGGATTTTGTAAATTGTGGGTTTGTGTTGTGAACAATACACATATCTACCTATATACACTTGAGGATCTATTATTGGAGAATATACAATTATATAATTATACTGTCGTCCTCAATCTTTAAATCCCTGCATGACTTGAATTATACTATCGCACGCAACCTCCGAGCTTCCGTGATAAATCACGCAAGACGAGCCTAACAGCTACGACGAGGACATAGAAATACTTCAACGTCTCCAACGACAGCTGCATTATTTAAATGTTTATATTATATATATTAATAATTATTCACTCATTATAAATTGCGTTATATTATTAACTATTACTTTATGTATTGTTTGCGATTAATTATGTCTTCTATTATTATTATTTCACTGGACACCCCTGGCCGTAACATCCGAGCGCGACCATGTACCTCCGGCATAGTCGTTTCGGTGAAACGATGACCGACAACCTATATCAAAAACGATTAAAACCCATAGAGTAACGTATTACTACAACATTAATACGATTTTGGCACATTCGGATTTATAAATAACAAAATTATTGAGAATTTCTCGTTCCACATAGTCGGTTCGGTGAAACGATGACTGACAACCTATATAAAAATTGCGAAAACCGTTAAAGCAACGTATTTCTAGCGTCTCTATACCGTTTTGGCACGTTCAGATTCATAAGTGACGAAATTATCGAAAATTTTTCGTTCCGCGTAGTCGGTTCGGTGGATCGTCCGTGTGACGTCGGGCCTCCGACGTTGACATAGAATATAAGACACGTATGTAGCCATAGAACATAAGATATGAATATAAGATACGTATGTAACCATAGAGTATAAGACATGTATGTAATCTTAGCCGTAAGACATTATTCACGCCATGTTTAACCATAGTTAATCATATAGAGATAGGGAACAATATGTAAGCAAGTAGCGTAGGAACCGCTCGACATTCCTTTCCCACAAGATAAGTCCCTTCCTCGAACTCAATCTCATAAACATCCTCCCGATAATCCAACTCATAAACATCCTCTAACCAAATTAATCACGATACCCTTATCGACAACAGACCATAACATCCTCTCACGACAACTCCTATATCTCGTCTTACAAACATCCTTCAAGATAAACTAA